CTCTATATCTAGTAATCTCCCGACAATTCACGAAGGTTCGAGAGAAGTGGCGTGACACTAGTTACGCGACCTTGCTGACGCAACAGTATCATTGCTGAAAGCAACGTATATATGCTGATAATAATATTCAGTTACGAGTTAATTATATTTATTGATATTATTCAAACTCTACTGATCTCATTTTATATAACTGGAAATTTTCCAGACACCGTAAAGCTCGTACAATGATTAAACATTAAAAGTTTTAAAGGATAAAGGCTTTTCAGTTGAATTATAATCTATAGTTTAATACCAAACTTACTGACATAAATTTATCAAATAGTAGTTCAATAAAATTTTGAATGCGAGTGAACAAACGAGATTACATGGCCTTTCACAATTGACCCGTCTCGAAAAGGTTAACAACTGTAAATATTAGTAGTTTTTAAAGTCAATACAGTAAATCGTTCCAGTTTTGTTTCAGCGCATATATATATATATTACAAACTGGGTTTCGTGACTCTTTCCCTATTTATGTATAAGTTACAGTAATTTTGTAAATACTATCTATACTGTTTTGTGTGTTTTCCAAAGTCTTAAAATATCGCAACTTTGGCTTTATAATTATTTTAAGAGACCACCAGCTTCTGTTTTGGAAGAAAATAGTTTACTATGTCCAGGTGTTTTCTAATAATATTGTTTTTATACCAGATTCTAAAGACGAATATCACCCTACCAGGTTTAAGCAAGACGTTATGTTATTTTCATTATCCCACCAGAAGCACAACTCAAAAGATGATCACATTATAAGTACCTTTTCTTCGTTACCCTGTTAGTTGTTTTGATATAATTAAATAAACTGAAGCATTGACCTGACAATAATGCTAATTTTAGGACGCTCATTAACTTTCATTTTTTTTAACCATTTTAAATAAGCGAGAGATAAATCTCGAAAATAACTTTATTTTATTGAGTATCCTGATATGATCTTACAGAACCGATAAATACAGTCTGTAATCATATATTAAAATATTTGTCATGAAAAAACATTTAAAAAAATTACATTATATTTGAAGCCCGAACAGTTGTGTCATCTACATTGTCATCGTTTTCCAGGTCCTTACGACAGAGATGAGCAACCATTCCACTAGCAAAAGCGTCACCTATGATGTTGTTGATTGTCCGTGAACGGTCACTGAAAATACATTAATTTATGGTTTTACTTGGTTATAAGAGGAAAACAGTTAAGGAAGTGAAACATTATAAGATATCTATAGTCCTAAAATTAATCTTAAGACTTGGAGTTATATTAGTTCAGATAACTAGTGTAATTTGTCTACTGTACTACCAATATTAACTTATAAATGTTGGCTTTTACTGCTATAATGGGGCCTGGATTGCCAACGTCAGAAGGTAAGGTTCCCTTATCTACCCCTAGTGACAGGACATTATTTTATTTTCGCTTTTTCTTTCATTTTAAATTACTCTGGCGAGCAGTCAGCTTCCCACAACTGTCTGCAGGCGATCAAGGGTGATATAGATGTGGGATGTTGTGGGCTTGACCACCCACATCTGGCTCTCCTAATTTATTGTTATCTTTTTACTTGTTTTATATTTATTCTTCTTTCTTTAACATGCGAGACTAGAGAACGGAGGTTAAAACTGGTAGACGGTGTATCCCCACCGCTATGTAGGTCCTACTTGTGAAGTCACCTCTACGAATCAGAGCATATCGTATATCCCACATTAAAACTTGTACTCTGGTGATCTTTTTTAATATATGCAGCGTTTCTCTTGTAGTTGTTAAGGCTTGTTTTGATGCTATTTTGAACAGTCAATTTACATATTTAATAATAGTAAGTAGAATCCTGTAACCTTTTTCCGAAATTAAATGAAATAGTAATTAAAAAGAGGTAGAATTTTGATATATTTTTTAGTGCATCTTACAGAGTAACACGTTATTCCACAATCTTTTTCATTTTGCTTTTAAAGTATAATGATTTGATTTGTTTGTTTATGTTTGGAATTTCGCGTAAAGCTATACGAGGGTTATCTGCGCTAGTGGTCTTTAACTTACAAGTGTTAGACTAGAGGGTTTGTTTGTTTGTTTTGAATTTCGCGCAAAGCTACACGAGGGCTATCTGTGCCAGCCGTCCCTAATTTAGCAGTGTAAGACTAGAGGGAAGGCAGATAGTCATCACCACCCACCGCCAACTCTTGGGCTACTCTTTTACCAACGAATAGTGGGATTGATCGTAACATTATAACGCCCCCACGGCTGAAAGGGCGAGCATGTTTGGTGGGACGGGGATTCGAACCCGCGACCCTCAGATTGCGAGTCGAGCGCCTTAACCACCTGGCCATGCCGGGCCCAGACTAGAGGGAAGGCAGCTGATCAATACTGTAAGTAGCAAGTAATATTTTTGTTTCTAAATGGTATTCGGTTATGTATAACACATACAACAAATACGTGATAAAAATGTTATCGAGTTATCCATTTTTAACACTCTAAGCCAACAGACTTACCACTAAAACGTTGTTTAAAATTTTTTTTTATAAATCTCTATAAAAATAAGAATATTATAGAGACAACTTACTTGATCCATTCGACAGCAAATAAAAGGCTGACGTCACTGACAGGAGCACCAATAGCAGACAAGCACATGACCATCAGGAACAATGAAGAACTAGGAACGGAAGTTGCTGCAACACTTACAGCAGTAGCGGTAATTCTAAAATACCACAAAAACACCGTGAAGTTTATAATTAACACCTTTAACACCAGAAAATTACGGTACAACAAATTTATAATTAGCACCTTTAACACCAGAATATTACGGTAAAATAAATTTATAATTAGCACCTTTAACACCAGAAAATTACGGAACAACAAATTTATAATTAACACCTTTAGCACCAGAATATTACGGTACAACAAATTTACTAAATGTTTTTAGCAGAAGGGCCGTGCGCAGAAATTTGACCGCAAAAGCATTATGTTGATCAAAATGACCGAGTTCGTATGAATAGTTATTGGTGTGGGTGTAACCCCACTTTCTCCCCTACATTTTTTAAGACTGTGTTAGAGCTGAATAGATAGAACGTTTTCGCTACGTTATTAAGAATTGTTGGTGTTAAGCGAACTGTTTTACATGTAACAAATTAACATTAAATTTAAACTCTGAGGGAGAATCAAGTATTTAGGAAACGAAGTGGGTGGGTGGGTTCGTTAAACTTTTATTAGATATATAACTTAACGGTTATATATGGTGTCTACAGATAGTTGCCCACATTTCTAAACCTAATAACTCTGAAATGAACAAAGAAATATTCTCAAACTTTAGTAACCCGAGAACCCCTTTTATTTTAAGTTTTTTCGCAG